CAACAACGGGAGAAACTAAGATGGCGGCAGAGATAAACACCGGGAAATTAACGCCGCACACAACAATTGATTAATACCTCAGAGAAACAATACGGACTTCACCCAGAACCACAGGAAGCCTGGCTGACTGTAAACTCTACAACTAGAAGGAAGGAAAGGCACACTGAGACCCGCAGAAGCTGCAGGAGAGAAGCGCAGAGGTACGGGGCGCTCGCGGGGCTCGCGCGCGGAAAGGGGCCGGCACCCGAGGACGCGGCGGTCCTTTTGAATCCGGAGGGAGTCACAAGCCCCCGACGGCTCTGAACTCCGGTTCCGGGAAGTCTCCCTCAATGCACAGGCTTCCTCTTGGTGGTCAGTGCACTCCCACAGCCAACCTCTCATGGCAGGCCAACCTCCCGTGGTTCCTCCCTGCAGCCGGCTGGCCCCAATCTGGGCCGGCTAGCAACCTCTCGTGGTCCCTCCCTCTGGCTGGCCAGCCCCAATTGGTACCTCCTCCCCTCCTCCAGCTGGCCAGCCCCAACAGACACTGGCAAGATGGCCCCGATCGGCCCCGATCACCGGCGAGGCCAAGGGACCCCACCCGTGCAAGAATTCGTGCACCGGGCCTCTAGTATCTAATAAAACTACACAAGCAAATGTCCTTTGACTCAGTAATCCCACTTCTAGGAAATCTACTCTGAAGGTACACCTTAAAACAAAAACGAATATGTAAGATCATTCATTGTAATAGTATTTGTAATTTTACAAAGTACTGAACACCACCTAAATGCCCGCGCATAGCAGATTGATAGGATAAAATATGGTACCTACATGACATGAACATTGAGCACCTACAAAAGAAAAAAGAGAAAGATCTCTATGAACTTACATGGAGTGATTACTGGAAATGTTTAGTGAAAATGCAAAGTCCATCAGAGCATGTATGTGAAGTAGCTAATAAGCACATGAAAAGGTGCTCAACTTCATTTAGCATTAGGGAAATGAAAATTTTAACAATGATACCACTTTGTATCTACAAGAATGTCTATAAAAATATTGGTGAGCGTGTGGAGAAATAAGAATCCGCAACATTGCTGGTGGGAATATAAATTGGTAGAACTACTTGGAAATCAGTTTGACAGTTAAATATGATGTTCTTTATAGACAGAGGCAAAGAAGCATTGGACAGACTGTCAAACTACAGCGGGAAGGCTAGAGAGGGTTGCAGGGGAGTCGGGGGAAAGAGATCAACCGAAAGACTTGTATGCATGTATATAAGCATAACCAATGTACACAAAGACACTGGGGGGAGGAGGGGTGTGTGCCAGGGGGTAGGGGAAGCTGGGGGAAGGTCAATAGGGAAAAAAGGAGACAAATGTACTACTATTCGTAATGCTTTAAACAATAAAATAAATTTTTTTAAAAAATATGAATTTATCATACAATCCAACAATTCCACTCCAAAGAAATGAAAACCATGTCCACATAACAACTTGCAGGTGAATGTTCATGGCAGCATGATGCATAGTCCAAAAGTAAACAACCCAAATGTCCATCAGCTTTTACATGGATAACAAAACATGCATAATTCAAATGGAATACTATTCAGCAATACTGAAATGCTGATATATGCAATGACATGGATGGACTCTGTGAACACATTATACGTAAAAGAAGCCAGATTCAAAAGATATCACTATATTTCTATGAAATGCCCAGAAAAGAAAAATCTAACAGAAACTAGCTACTGGTTGCCTGGAAATGGGGAGGACCAGGGTGAGGTGGGAACAAGGTTTAACTGTAACCAGGCATGAGGAATTCTGTTGGGATTTTGAAAATGTGTCTAAAGCTGGGTTGTTGTAGTCAGTGCACAATTCTTAAAATGGGTGAATTTTGTGGCATTGAATTTTACCTCAATATTTTTTTAAAGGACATAGATGTGAATTTCACAGGATGTTAATTACACATCAATTAAAAAATTTTAAGAGCATGTATATAAAATGACCAACCCGCCCTATTTGTTTAACTTGCCCAGTTTTTTGCTTTAATGTAAAGTTCTATATCCCAGGAAAAGTTCTGTCCTAGGCAAACCAAGATTAGTCTCCCTGTATGTATGCTACCTTTTGTGTAAGAAAGAAGGGGAATAAGAAAACACATTTACTACTTTTCTTCACAAAACGAAACACCGGGGGAAAAACAGTGAAATTAGATACCTACAGGGTTGGGGGTTGGGGAGATATGAATGACATTTCTCTCAGTATAACTTTTGGTAGTTGTGACTTTTGGAGGCATGTTAATGTTTTATATTTAAAAAATAAAATTAAACCAAGGACGGGGGCGGGAGGGCAGACCTTATACTTGGAAGAAAACGGAAACAAATGAACCCAATTTATTTCAAATAAGTAACACAGTGAAAGAAAAAAAAAAGAATGAATCAAAGTAATTTATGAACACAATGTAATTATATATCTTTGGTCTGGAGCAGGGTACAGATAAAGAGAGGATACAGACAATCTTGCAGGCTTTTAAGTGTGTTTTTATACATTCTATGGGCAAAAGCAAAAAAAACTATTTTAGCTGTATTATCGGATTGAACAAGTGAATAAACTGATGGACTTTTTCAAGAGCCAGGATTCTGAGGAAACAGGAACAGAGAAATATGAAATGGGGAAAACAAGAAAGAACCCTATGAGGATGGATGGACTTGGAGGTACAGTGAATGCATGATTTCTAAATCAAATGTGGATATGAGCACATGTGAAATGTATGTGTACATGCACATTTCCTATTCTGCTGAATAGGCCTAGCAGCAGGAAAACACCTAGTAAAGGTGAACATACCCAGCAGCCAGGGTTCCTTGGATTCTAGATCCTGGAACATCTTTTATTTACAATGGTGTGAAAAAAAAAAAAAAAAAGATAGCAGATGCCACAAGGAATTAGGACTCAGAAGCTCCTATTGGGCAAATCTAAGACAATTAAGACAAAGTAAGAAATGAAATGCAAGTCCTAGAAAAAATAGAAAATCAGGAGTCCAAAACAATAGTTAATATAAACGTTCACATGGATAGTTATGAAGAAAGGAGTGCTCCTGCTTACAGCAGAATGCTAACTGGTACACGAGGAAGAAATGCTATAATTAGAAAATCATCATTTTGCAACTATCAAAATAAAGACGGAATAAGCAAGAATCATCAATGGATGCTAAATCCTGGGGGGAAATGTTAGCATGGATTTAAAGAGTCTCCCACAGATTGTGATACCTGATGACACAGCATCACCAATGTGGTATCCTAAGAATGCACAATCTGAATCTAATGAGGAAACCCAAAATGAAGAACATACTATTAAAAAAGGAGGATAGAGGAGAAGGAAGACTGTATTCTTCGGAAACATGTCACAGCTGTAAAAGACAAAGGCGACCATGGAAATTATCTAGAGTCAAGGAGATTTCAGGGAGGGTAAATAAGCAGATGTTAAAATAAAAATGGTAAAATTTCAGTAATAGTTAATCTGGATAAGAGATGTATAGATGTTCTTTGTACTATTCTTATTTTTTTGCCAATTTTCTGCAAATTTAAAATCATTTCCAGGTGGAGGTAGAAGAGGGCTTAGAGGGGATAAATGGTGATGGAAAAAATAAAATTATACACACACACACACACACACACACACACATATACTTAAAAAATAAAGTAATTTCGCCGAAACTGGATGTTTCTGACTCTCTATCTCTCTCCCTTCCTCTCTGTGAAAAATCTATAAAATATATTTAAAAATAAATAAATAAAGTAATTTCCATAAAAAGTTAAAAAAAGGGATTGATATTGGGTTGCCAATCTCATGCTTTGCCTGATAAGGTTATTAAAATGCAATCATTAAAAAAAAACAACCCTACCATCTACGATTATATCATTTTCTTTCAAGAAAGTGTGAGGGGACATTTTGAACATCCAAAAAATAGCCATTATCACCAAAGAATGACCCTTCAAAACAAAATTTAGATGTATAAAAAAGACTTATCCTAGTTTTTTCCACTTCCATGTGGATCAAGGAGAGCCTGTCAGCTTTGTGTTACGGATTCAATATTCTAAACAAGGTCCATTTTTGCCAATGGATTAAGTACAGTTTGGTGAAAAGAGCATGGAGTCTAGAGATAAACACTGAATTCAAGCCCTGGCTCCAGCTGGTACCAGTTCCTATAACTTAAACCCTCTTTAGTTTCCTCAACTATGAGGCAGACAGATAAATCACAGGACTATTAAGAGAACTGATGTACTTAGAATAGTGCTTCCCACAGAGAAGGTGCTCAATGTCTCCTCGTCTTCCTTTCCTTGGGAGCCACTTTTCTGTTCTCTGGAAAAGTTTCTGACTAGGACCACATCGGCCTTTCCCCACCAAGATTACGTAAGAAACTGAACTATCCCGAGAATAAGCCTCCTTTCTGGAGGTAAGTTTCATGAAAAACAAAGACGGAGATACTGGACAGTGGAAAAAAAGATAGAAGAAGGCTTATGAAAACAGATGAGCTGTGACATGGTAGCTAATTTGTTCTGTTAAGGAGGTAAAGACAGCAGGAGGAAGTACTGGTGTATGTTAGAAAAGTCTGATAAAAAAATTACATGTTATTTTCATATACTCATATCTATTTTGCAAATGACCACCCATCTACTTCTAAGAGTAAATAATAGTTTTATGTAAAAAACAAATAGTATTAAGATAAACAATTCTATTCTTTTTAACTGGCTTGGAAGAAAAAAAAACAACATCAATTCAATAAAATGTCCATAAATTATGAGATTTCATCCAGTAGTCTGTTGTTTTGCTTCTTTCCACATATTTTCTGTTTACAACTAACAGGGCAATTTATTCCTTTTCTATTGCCAAAGATAGCAGTTCTTTTAAAATCTTTTTGAAAAAGAAGAAAAATTTAAAAAGTAACTAAATTCATTATAGCAAAAAAATTGTATTGCCAACAGAAATGTAGTTTAACACTTAAAATCTTTATAAAAAATAAACAAATTCTAATTTTTCCTTTATTTCATAACTGAAAAATGAAAATGCTTATTTACATGAATATTTGATACATAATTTCCTTAATACTTCTCTATGGTGAAATAAAACTATATATATATTTAAAGAGAGTAAATAATATTAACACTCATGACAATTTCAAACCAATGAGCATTGGTATAGCTTCAAATTACTATTAGTTGTGGCTATTCTTGGGGAAAAGGCGCAAAGCTTATTAGGGCCTACCACACAAGAAATACTTAATTTTACATTGTCAGAGTTCAAAAAGTGGCATCATAACGTGAAAACACTATAAATTGACATCTTGCTCATATGTCTCTTAAAACAGGCTGGAAAAATAGTCAGTACCCTATATAAATAAAAAAATATTTCCATTGACTACTTTTTGCCCAGAGTGATTAAGGACAAAAAAATAAAAATTCTTGATGCTTAATTATTTGATAAACTGCTGACAAGCTCCCATTAAAAGTTCTTTAGACATTAACCCAAGTAATCTTGGTCTTATGGTTATATATTTATATTACATATATATATATATCAACTTTTTCAAGTAAAGAAATGTTTAACAGATGTAAACTATTTATTGAATATTTGCCACCAAATATTGTTAAATACATTATCTTGCAGCATATCGCTTTCAAGTTAAAATGTCAGAAACAAACACCAATATTTACAATTCTTTTAAGGAATGTTATATAATGACACATTAAGGCGTAAATTCTTTTGGCTTATAATTCTTAAAAGAATGATAATAGCAAAAGTGATGCAAAATCTTCAGTGTGAGATTATGATTAAGCTACATTTTACAAAAATATGGTGTAAGATGGCAATAATCCCATTCAACATCCTGGATTAGATCCCTTCAGGAGGGACTGATAATTTATACAGTCAAACTTTAAAATTTACAGATAAAGGCAGTTCAATACTGCCACTGAGAAGTACATCTCTTAACATATACAACTTTCAGGCCACAGTTTTGAAGGTCTGAAGTATCAAGTTGGTTTGATGAATTAGTCGGTTGGCACTCATGAACACATTTATTGCCCTGTTTGAAGAAAAAAAAAAGAACAAGCATTAATTTTATCCAAAAAACTCATTCTTTAAAAATATTTATACTAATTCCACCCAATAACAGTAGCAATGAAATCAATTTAGAAAAAAAAGGTCGAGAAAGTATGGAGTATCATAAATTTTATTCCAGATTGGAATTGAATGGAACTCAATCATTTGAAACTATCTAGGAATTACTGCCCCCTAGTGGTTCTGGTTGGTAATTAGGTGTTGGTGGGCTGCTAATGATGGCTTCAGAACCACCAGGGTTCATCTATAAGTCGAACAAATAACTGATTCAAATGTAGTTTCCCGCTGTGGTTCATAGAAGTTGCCAAATTAAAATCTGCATTAAGTATTACACTCAGTCTCAAAATCTATATGGCAATGGGCACTATAAATACTAAAGAAAAACCTAACTACTTTCAAATAAGATTCACCTCAATCGCTCATACCTTCTTTCAAAAAAACAAATCTGAGAATTCTAAACTGCTTTTAGAATTAATCTACTTTTAAAACAAAATAATCATGCAGTTTCAATATTTTGGAGCTGACAACATATATGTTCTTAAAAATATGTTGTGCTGTACCACATTTCCTATCAACTCATCCTCATGCAACTAGAGGACAGAGCTGATGCCCTTGTCCCACCATGTGGCCTTATCAGGCTTTTAATTGCATAGCTAAAGATTTTATCTTCATCTTAGACATTTATCAAAAAAGAGGGACCCCAACGAATTAGTTGAATCAATGCAAATTCATCCCTCTATTGAAAGATGGATCAAAGATCAGGCTGTTGTAATAACTTTCAGTTTGAGGAAACAGGTACAAAACTAATGGCACATTATTCATACACAACTAATTGTAATTTAAAGAAGCTGCTGAATGGAGAAAAAGTAGTGGCAGGAAGCCTAAATAATCTATATGCCTGTTAGAACTGTTAAAAAATTGAAAGTAAATCATTTCAGATTAATGAAAATTAGGCTCTAAATGAATTTCTATCTTTTAACGTGCTTTTTCCGTGACAGTTCTTAATTAGTGAGAAGCAGAAATAATGATCCAAACATGTAAATTATTCTTTTAATGTGTTTTCTGGTTATTTGGGCTTAGCAGAGATGAAGGAAAAACAGATGCAAGTTTATTTTCAGAACACACCTGCCAGCTTATTAAACTAAATCATGAAGGGGCATTTCCCTGAGACAACCTGAATAGTAATATGGAACAACAAAAAACCACTAATACTTTAGCTCAGTATTTTAAATTCATAATATAAATGTAGATATTTTGACCTATTTGAACTATAAAATATAGCTTTAAAAATCAAGACCATTCTAATATACTATCTTATTATTTTTAAATTTTATTACAATAATATTCAATAATTTGGCACAGATACAGGGATTTTAAGACTCCTATAGGATAGCATGATAGGTCATGCCAACTATAGCTGAAGTAGTCACTATTTTTCTAATTTTAGAAATGGTTTTGTCAACAAAATTTCCTGAATTTTACTTGATACAAAAATTCTGTATCAGGTTCAATGTCACAGAACACATGGCCTCTGCATCACCTATACCTTTTATGTACATATCTATAGGTAAAAACACATAAAATATTTGGTTTTCTGGGGTGTTTAACAGCCAATTGTATATAAATTGAAGAATAACAAGCCATTTACCTTTTCAGTATACTTCCTGTGAAAGTGTCTCCCCTGCCAGGACAATGAATCGCAACCTTTGCAGCACTGTGAAGTCACCTAGTACACTTGTATACAACTCCTGAATCCTGGTCCCACTCTAAGCCAACTGAGTCAGAATCTCTGAAGGTGGGTGGAGCCAAGGCACTAGGATTTTTAAAAACTGAACTCAGGGAAATCTAATGTGCAAACAGGACTAAGAACCGTTGTTTTAACTTTAGTGCAGCAGCTCTCAACAGACCTAACATATCACTATCATCTGGGAACAACTTAGAAATAAATGCAAATTCTTGGATCCATCCTAGACAATGAGAAATCTGGGGGTGGAACCCAAAAGCGATTTGTGCTTTAACAAGCCCTCCAGGAGATTCTGATGCTACCAAGTCAAAATATTTGCTATCTGGCCCCTTTCAGAAAAAGGTCTGCCAACTCCTGTCCTAGACTGGTATGGCTGGATTATCACCATTCACTTTTTATTTTTAACAGTTAGTAGTTGGTAGACCTTTTTCTGACCTTGGCACTAGAGTAAAAAGACTTTAATTTATATGGTTTTAGTATAATACAAACCATATGATTTAATTTTAAAAGAGAAGGATGATAAGTAAAAGTACTTACTTGCCATCTTTAAAATAGGTTTTCAGAGTATCACTGAAACTTTTGGAGTACTTTACAAATTCTTTCTTTTGGTGTTCAAGTGCCTACAGACAACAAAAACAATTAAGAAAAAAATGCTAAGTAAGAAAAGAGAAATAACACAAAAGTCAAAGTCAAAGATAGGAGGTTATTCCCAGTAATCAAACCATCTTAGTATTTAATTCAATAAAATAACTAGGTGTAAAATAACGTCTAGGATGGCTTCTAGTAAACTTACCCTGCGGTTCTGGTATTGATATTTCTTGAAGACATTATTCACTGTATCAAGAAGTTCTTTTATTGCACTAGCAATATCCCTGTGAGTTAAGAAAAAAGAATCTTCTTAAAATCAGTTACATTTGAAAGAAGTCTGTATATATATTTTTAAAGAATCTTTATTGTTGAAAGCATTACACGTGTCCCTTTTTTTTCTGTATGTCTTTTTAAGAATTACTAACCACACTGTTAATTACCATACTAACACTATGTCAAGAGCAAACATCTGACTGGCTGATTGAGTGGGGGTTTTAGCATGTACCCTCTGTGATCCTGACTTCTGCACTGCTGACCACACATTCCACATCAACTTTCCCAAATTATTAACATTTCTTTCAGTATTATTGACTTAAATTCAAAAGAATATGCCTCTGCCTCTCATCTTTTCCAGTTATAATTTTTCCTTTCTCTAATATAGCTGACTTTAAGTTACTACATACTGTTTTTCTATCTCATGAACGAACAATTATATGAAATTTTGCTATTACATGTAACTCATTTCTATATTTACCAACACTCCCAGTTATATACCTAATAATTTGTTTTGAAATACTTACTCCTCAGACATAGCTCTTCTCTTGAAACATTTACCTCTTTCTAACAACCACGTATCCACCCCTTCCAAACCTATATTTATGTATTTAAAGTATATTTAAATTTCTGGGAGAGCCAATATCAGATTATTTTCTATCTTAACCTTTCCAGCAATCTTTCAGGTGTCCGCCAAAGGCTGTGTACACACTTTAAATGCTGGTAACTCACTTAATTTTCACTCCTTTTCAAGTTTAACTAATTTGAAATAATGGGTGAAGCCAAACGAAGCTTTGACAAAGAAAATTTATCCATTAGACTATTTTATGGGGATACATAAAAGATGAAGTTTACTGTCCAAAACTGGCAACAGTTGACAAACTGAGGGCACACAAATACCAAACAAAATGATTCTTGATGTTTGCGATTCCAATGCTTCACGTTATCAGCATTGCTTGGACCAGAATGGTCATCAGTTTGAAAATGGTGTTGACAAAAACAAAACAAAAATTTAATCATTTCTATAGATTCTTTTAAATTTTGAAAATGAACTGTAAGTTAATAAACACTGACTTTATAATCATTCAAAGTGTGTATACATTTTTAGGGGAGACCCTATCTATGCATCAATATCTTCCTCCCCTTAAGAGAAGAAATCTTTTTTTTACTATCCTTCCTATTCATGTAGTGTTTTTTTCCCTGAACGCTTCCTGTATTTTATATCTATGCTCTTTTCATATTCTAGCTTAAAGCAATCTTTCTTGGTCAAACTGAACTTAACATAATTCTGCATTTATAAGTAGTCTCATATTCTCTAAGGCAAGCTTTCTCTTCTTCACATCCATTCTCTTTGCTGTTCAAATGCAATCCAAGTGTGAATATATGAATTAGTAAGATATACATCCAGACTATCCCAAATATAACTTTATCATTGACTTTTTAATCACAAATGTCAGATTTCAGTTATTTCACACCTATAACAATCTTTCTGCTTTGCTATTAAAGAAAAAAGAAGGTTCAGTGTGCAGATTGTCCAGCTTTCTGGACATGTGTGTGTTTCACAGCATATTTCTAGTAAATCAGCATGTGGAAATTCTAAAAGTTGTAGATAGGATTTTGGAATGAAGAAATATATTTTCGCCTATTCTAAAGTAGTAATGGCATTTCAATAAATACTTACTTACTACATCCTGATGTCAAACATCAGCCTCAGGCTGAAACATTAAAATATTACATGTTCAAATAAAACGAAGAATTTTACATATAAATGACATTTGTGGACTCGTGTTTTTGTCTCTAGTTTAGTAAAAACAGTTTTAAGTTATATAACTGTTATTTCATTTGTAGTTTTAAGCAAGTTGAATTCTGCTATATTGCTGTGATGGCTGTAAGTCCACCTATGCTTAATAAAACGGAGTCACGTGACCATCCTATTATGTGAGAAAAATTACAATTTCCACAAGTAAAAAATGTCAGATCTCTGCATATGGAAGATTCTTTAAATTCACAATGAACCTACTTAAAACAAAATATAATGCAGCAGATTACAGTGATCAGAGATCTGTTTACACACAGCCGTATTTGTGGTATACTTTAAAATTTTACTAAAAAGAATAAAAATGTACATTCAGTGTTAATCAACATGAACATATGTTCCATGTACAATGATAATAGCTGCATTCCATAGGTCAAAAGAGCAGTTCTGAAATTGGCAGCTCCCTCCCTCACCTAAGAGAAAAAAAAAATGGCAGGGGCAGAGAAGGGAAGGGTGGGTTTAGTGAACAGTACTCCATCCTACTAATAAATATTGGGAATCTGTGCTTTAAAAGAAAATGGGGGGAAAAAAAAAGGTCCCCAGGTGATTCTGCTGATAAACCTGGTTTGGAAGCCACTGTGTAGGAACTCAGAACCTAGAGCTAAGGTTTGATCTATTATTCGCCACAGCACTTTATAGAGAACTAGGCTGTTTATCCTTAGGCCTGGCCTTCTCTAAAACAACCTATAGCCGTTTATGTCAAATATTATGTCATCTGTATGTTCACAGAACATTTTCTTTTATGGAACCAAGGAAGTTAAATTATATTAGCAAATACCTGAGGGTTTGGCTCCAAGAAGATAAAGTCCCCGCAGGCCTGCCCGTCCCCTCCCCCTCCCCCCCCGCAAAACATACAGTACTTTAATTAAAGAACTAGGGAAAACTTGAGGGTAAAAGAACTATAGTGTAATTATATGCTGAGTTAACGGTTTCTATGACAAGGGACACACGAGTATTTGCAGCTATTAAGAGGGGTAACTTTGGGGAAACATAATACTGAAAGAGAGGACAACAGGCATCAGATGAAATATAAACATACATCCTATCAAAAAACTGCATAGAATAACAGAGTTTCTAATCACATCACCCTAATTTGTGTATGTTTATGCGAACACTCTAAAGGAAGGAAATTCCTATGCTGTATGTTTGCTCTAGACAGGTCAGCTCTGGAAAAGCTAATTTGAAGCTATCATGGAAACCAAACCATGGCGAATATTTTGCCTATGAATATGCAAATGCAGATTATAATGAGTAAATAGATAAATGCATAGCGTTCTGGTCTATTAAATCACAAGTCTCTACTAGTCATCCATTAATTGGAATGTGTCAGACTTTTAAAAGAATCCCATGAATTAATTTTATAAAATATTTGCATAAGCTCAAATGTAATCAAACAGAAACATTCATTAATCAAAAGTACTTTAAAATATTTGTTTGCTGGATCATTTTTCCTAATCAACTCCATAGAGAGAAATTGAAATAAACAAACCTTACTTCACAATGCCAGAATGTGCTGTCGGTAGATGCTATTTCTTTCCATTCTCACAACTATTACCCTCATCTTCACAGGCAGAAACTAGAAATATAGAATCTAAGCACCTTATCCAAGGTCACAAAGCTAAATATTGAAGTGGAGATTCAAACCTAATTCTGCTAACACATACAAAATTATCGATATTTATTAGCTGACAGGATGTTCTTTCTACTCTGGTATAACCTATAACATGTATAGTGCTTAGTATAGTAGGTATTTCATACATACTTACTGAAAAATGCTGCTAAAATAAATAGATAAAGAGCGTAACTACCTTAAATGTGAGAAAGTAGAATATCTGAAAAGAAAGATAATTAAGTGCACAATATGTGTGGCCTAAAGGGTAAACCATTTTCATGTTGCTAAAACTTTTAACCACCAATTTGTTAAACAATGTAACAGTGGTAATAACATATCAAAATCTATCTTTCTCTCTATCAGATCAGTAATACAAATAATTGCAGTATTAGCTATGTATGCTAATTCATACATTGTTGATTAGTCTCAGAAATAAAAACATATTATCAACAAACATTCCATGGCAAATTATCCCTAAAACGTTTAAAATATAAATTTTAATTGCCAATAATATTAATTCAGTTGTGCAGAGTACTCTCCAGAACTGAAGTATGACTATTGTTCCATAAATGAGAGACAAGACCCCTAATTCAGCCTCTGTCAATGACTATGGACAAGAGTCTTAGGCTCTTGATCTCAACATCCTTACGATTAAAATGCAACTGCTAATAAAGTGGTTTTCACACTGTATCTCTCTAGGGCCAGACTGGGATTAACAGAGATGCTTCAGGGATTCCACAGGGGGAGAGAGGGAGTCCAAATAGCAGGATAACGACTCCGGGTCAGTCACTTCTATCCTGGCTACAATGACAACATTGTTCTCCCTCTCACCTACTGGCATTCTATATAATATGTCTTTTATCAAACTTCTTCCAAACAATAGAAACTTTTCATTCAATTACCAAATTAGATCAACACTGTGAATCTGTAGTAGGGAAGCAGCAGAGAAGACCCTGGAGTCAGTCTACTTGGTTTCAAACCAGGCTCTCCCATCTTACCAGCTCTGTGAACTTGGACAAGTTATTTAATTTCTGATGCCTCAATTTCCTCATCTATTACAGGGCTTTGTAATAAGTTAATATGTTATAAAGTATTTTAAAAAGTGGTTAGCATGTAAGTTCTATATAAGTGATTAATATTATTAATATAATATTGATTCTGTAAACCTCTACTTGAATGACCTGAACCAAAATTTGCTGAAAATATTATTTTAAGAATGTCAAATCTTCACAGAAGTGTAGTACACATCATCAAAACAATTTTAAACTTAATTATTAGAAAATTGTAGAAGTAAGTTTTTTAAACAGCTGTGTTTGAGATCATTGACAATTTATCCTTTTATGGACCAAACATGTTTACTTTATACCAAACTAAAAATCCATAAACAGTTGATTGTCTTCCTTCTTCACATATTAAAAATAGTTTAAGGAAGTTGGGGCTTCTCACTAATGGCAAAATATTTACCTTAGGGTTTGTATCCCATTGCACAGATTTTGGCTAGTCAATGAAGCCTTTATCATACCTTCCAGTCCTCAATTAGAAGACTGAAGCAAGGGACATTCCTTGATAGCTGGGTTGGGCAACCATCATGAACATTTTCTAAAATGGGACATACTTCTCCCTCTGTATCACTCAAAATAGGTGCCCAAACTAGTTAAAATAGCATTTTGCAATGTAAATTACAAAGAATACCATTTCTGAGAAATGTTAATATTTATTCCAAGCCTTCCTAAATTCTTTAATAATATGAAATTTCATACAATCGCTAAATCTTTCCTTTCTAGCAATTTCTAGCTGTGATTTCACCAACAGATTAACAGCATGACTGCAATTATTCCAAGATTTCTGTTTTCTATCCACAAAGAGTACATGACTTATCCTAATGATTTGTGCCATTTCTAAAATAAAAACAATGGTATCCTTTGTTATTAAGCTGTATAATTTATCCAAAACTTCTTTATTCACTTTAGTCTGACATTTAATTTTTCCATGTTTTATGTAGTTTAAACTATATTTCAATTTCTGTACATTCCATTCAGTTTTAAAATTAAACACTCTAAACAAATGTCACTGTATTCTGAAATGAAATGACACAGCTTAGAAGTTAATAAAGATGTAGCATTTAAAACCTCCAAACTTATTTCAAATTAATATTTTAATTTAACATTTATGTCATACTAAAATGAAATATCTAGAATGAGAGGTTCCTATGAAGTGCTTGAGAAAAGAACAAAAACAAGAAATTGCTTACTTGATTGTCTGGAGAAACCTCACCCTGTCATTGATCTCATCTGGGATCTTACTGAGAATCTGTTTAAGTGCCCGTGCCTTTTCATTTAGGTCCTGGAATTCTGGCTCTGGTCGTTCAATCATATACTCTGATAAAATAAATGCATAATAAAAAGCATTAGGCAACTCCCTGTCAAATGCAAGTCTACAAATTCCCAATGTTGGTTAAGAGGGTGAAGGAGGGGAGTAGAAAGGCCAGATAACCAGGAAAGACAAGGTTGCAAAAGCAGAATTTGTTAAGAGTTCACCTTAGTTTGCTAATAACAGGGCTCCTACGAAGTAAGATAACAGAAGATGAAAGACTAAACATTTTCAATTTGGGATAAATAGAAAGCCCATGAAATAAAAATAAATAAATAAAAGTAAAAGGGAGTCTTAATCAAATTGATCAAGCCCCTGAAGATACATTTCTCAAGAAAATCTTAATGACGTTCATGACAAATATGACGGTGATATGTACCTGCCAATGGGGAAGATGAGCTTAACCAAGATCTTTATACTGAATATTCAATGTCTCATTATACCAAAACCCAAACAACCTATTAAAAGTCTTCAGCACGTTCTTGAAATCTCACTTAAAAAACACACACCAGAAAACACTACCAAAAATTCAACACAAGGGTTGTATCACAGAAGAGTAAACTTAGAAAGGAAGTTTAATCAGACCTGGTAGAGGCAAAAACATTACTAGTAGATTCATTGTAGACTTGGAAACATTACAACCCTACCAACCAATACAACCTGGCCTAACAGACTGGAAATGTGTAAGTGTAGAATAATCATGAGGACTTTCTTATAAATTATGGAATCAGTTAAAATATTTCCTTTTTTTCTCCCTCAATAAAGATGGGAATTTTTTCTTATTAGTGGGAAAATGGGTACTAAATTTAAGTGAAACCCATTTCTGATTATTTAAAAAGCAAAAAATGAGAAAGAATGGTTATTATATTGTCCTCTCAAGTATGTGGTTGAATAAAACACTAAAGTCAGAAAAAACCCTCATTAATTCACACTGATTTTTGCATCAAGTCAACACAAAATTAAAAAAACCAACAACATTCCACAGAGTTTATCTTTTGGCAAAACCAGAACTCATCAAACATATTCACGGGGGGAAAAGTTAAAGTGTACAACATAAACAAACACTTTACTTCAAGTAATTAAATCTGAATCTGACAAATATAAAACAGAAAACAAGAAGTACTTTTATAGGCCCCCCACCCCAATATTATCACAATACTAATAAGAAGAAAAAGAAGAGAAGAAGGAGAGGGAAAAGAGGAGCTAGAACCTTTTGTCAAGCAATAAAGATTTGGAAGAAATGCTTTTCAACAACTGTAAGAAAACTAAACAAGACTCTTTCTGATTACCTTCTACATCATCAGCTGCCATTCGAAGAAGTGATTCCGTGAAGTTAACTTCTACACTTTTTTTCTCTAAAATTTTCATTATGATGTCTTGTGTGAGTCCTGGATTTTCTTTTTCAGCCTATAAGGAAGAGAAAGCTAGTTTTGAAATGTAGAAATGAAATCAGAATTTTAAAACTAAAACTTAAATGTTTAGAAGGTTTGGGAACTTAAACTGATGAACCTAGAAAGGCAGAAATCTTTGTAAAGCGGTGATGGTATCACTTCTGTTTGATAAAACTTAAACATCAGTAACTTTTTATTACAGCCAATGTCTATTTTCCATTTGAACATAAAGTACTTAACATTTCCTACTTCTCCTTTACATTCTCCTGAAATCAAACTAATAACAAAGATAGAAATAAACATGTATTTTGGTAATCCATCAATTACTTTTTTTAGTAGCTAAAATAGACTAAGGATTTTTAGATTTTTTTTTCATTAGGTAATCTTTCAACTTGAGGATCTAGCAATTAATACTCATCTCACCAGTATTTTACAGATTCTTTGCATTTGAATGAACAGAATGTCAGGAATAGCAAAAATAAAACAGGATTACTTTTGCAAGTTTTCTTGAAGATATATAATCCCTTAAATGCTTTCCCATACAATGATTCTCACTTTCTGTTTTCTTTTTGTAGCAAGACTATTACCTTCACTAGTTTTCAGAACATTATTAATCCTTTTACTACCCTGAGCTTGTTTCACTAATGAGTTTGCAATGGTTCTATGTTACTCCCCAAGGCACTAAAATCGTCTAGTCATTTCAGTACTGAGCATAAAGAGTTCTGAGTTTACCAAAGTTATTTTTCAAGATTTGGGTTTTCCCCAATAATTTTATCCAATTTTATAATTGTTCTAAATTTTATAATCACACTATACATTTCTTTTAGGATGACTGCCAATTTTAATCATTATGGTGATGATTCTTCATCTTTCTTGCCCTGATATTAAATAGAAAATAGAAACAATTTGTGATCTTAACTATATGGCGACCTATTTGTTTTCTTATGTGTCAAGCACATTTAATCTCTGCCTTTTCAATTGCACTCTGGCATCACTACAGATCCAGCTTTCTTCTGTACCTATTGCTCTTCCATTATGACACATTGTTTCTCGATAGATTTCAGTATAAAAAATTAAAATGCTGTGGAACTAAATGGGAAAAGAAAATACACACATTTATTTCAATCCTGAGATCATTTTTAACTGTTGTCAAATGTTCTTCAGGAAAGTCACTTTGATATATAATTAATAACAATAAAGTGTGTCTTACTGAATTACATTTTTGTTGTTGTTGTTAACCCTCACTCGAGGGTATTTTTCACTGATTCATTGATTTTTAGGGAGAGGGAAAGACAGAGAAAAACATTGATGTGAGTAAACAAATCGATTGGTTGCCTCCTGCCTGAGCCCTATCCAGGGCCAGGGTAGGGGAAGAGCCTGCAACCAAGGTACGTGCCCTTGACTGGAATTAAATCTGGATCCTTTGGTCCGAAGGCCGATGCTCTGTTCACTGAGCCAAACTGGCTAGAGCTGAATTCTATTTCTTTTAACTGTAGTGCCCCAGTTACTCATGGGGGATATGTTCCAAGATCCCCAGCAGATGCCTGAAACCATGGATAGTACCAAACCCGATACAGACAGATGCTCTTCAACTTATGACAAAGTTATGACCTTATAAGCCCATCACAAATTGAAAATATCCTAACTTGAAAGTGCATTTTATACACCTAACCTACTGAATACCACAGCTTAAACAAGTCTACCCATACTCAGAACATAGTATCTAAAAAATGCTGATAACACAGTACACTGTAGAGTGCTGGTGTTTACTCTCATGATGGAGTGCCTAACTGGGAACTGAAGCTCAATGCCACTGCCCAGCATCATGAGAATATTGTACCGCATATTGCTAGCCAGGAAAAGATCAGAGTTCAAAATTCCAAGTACAGTTTCTACCAAATGTGGACAGCTTTCAAACCACTATACAGTCAAAAAATCCTTAAGTCAAACCATAAGTTGGGGACTGTCTGAATTATGTTTTTCCTATACATACATATCTATAATAAAGTTTAACATATAAATCAATTAGGAACAATAAGAGATCAACAATAACAATTAAAAAAAGAATAATTCTATCAATGCACTGTAATAAAAATTATGTAAATATAGTCTCTATCAAAATATCTTATTGTAACCAACCCTTAACTTGCAGTAAACGGCTTGGTGTCATTCGTTTCAGCAGATCCCTTGCTTAAATCTTCACATAGTCTCAATGTTTCCTGTGTACACATTTTTGTTATCAATTGGAACATTTTTTGTTCATGTTTTCCACCCACAAATTTAGTGACTTTTTAACTTAACTAAATAAACACTTACCATGCACTGTGGCTATAACTTTTGCAGTTTGAGATGGGACAGCAAAATTTACACAAATTCCTTTTTCTTTCTTCACAATTTCATGAATAGATTTGTTTTTACCATTGACCTTAGCAACCTGGGCATATACATTTTTTTTTCTTTTCTTTGTAAGTCAAAAACTTTCACCTTTTCACTTAAAGGAAGCACATTGTGGTATATCTCTTTTGGCATATCCCAATTACCAGTATAACTACTTTTGAGCTTTGTGGCCATTAGTAAGTAAAATAAGGGCTACTTAAACACAACCACAATACCATGAAAGACTGATGTGATCACTGAGAAAGCAACTAAATGTCTAAAGGCAGGGAGCATATACAGCACAGAGACACTGGTCAAAGGGACTGAGCAGGATGGTGTGAAATTTCATCCCAATATCCATAATGGAACAAAATTTAAAACCTAAGAACTTATTATTATTTCTGAAATTTTAAAATTTATAAATTCAAAATCAAACCATAAATTTATAATTTAAAAATTATAAAACTTATTATTTCTGGAATTTTTCATTTAATGTTTTTGAATCACAGTTAAAACAGGTAACTAAAGTGTAACTGTGGATAAGGGGAGACCACTGTATAGTCAGTTTTGATTTTTCCTTCCACGGATTTATTTAAGGTAGGATCTATTTAATTAAAAGAAAACAAAAGTTGCCTTTAAAAGAAAAGCTATACAAATACAGTATAAACTTTATGAATTTGGTGAGCTGACACAAAATTACATGTACGACACTATTTAAATAAGCCAGTATTTGATAACTGGTTTATCTTTCCTAAGTACCATTAAATTATCAATAACACATTATTTTGGGGGGCATTCTCTATATGCTTCCAGACAATGCCTGCAGAAAACAATCTCTCTGATTAAGTTATAATAAGGTGCTGAAAAAAATCAAATGCTGAAAGCCTGACAAAAGTTTGCAATATCAAGTTGGTCTGGGACCTCAACCTGCCAAAGCTGAAACATTACAGAGATCTCGCAGAGGTCCCTAATGTTTTAAAGTCAGTGTTCTTAGTGTCAAAAGAAATACCTAATAGTACTGTGTATTAAACAGTCAGGTTCAAACAACTTAATACTGAAGGCCTAAAAACATAGTAGCCTTTAAAAAATACACAAATTGATAAAAAAATATTTAATTTTATTCTTCAAATAACTATAATTACTTATTTTAATGAGATCTGTACACCCTGCTGGGCATTGCACAATGTCTCAAATGTTGGAATTCGATTGGACACTACCCTCATTTCCTGTTGTACATTGATTTCCTTATGGTACTTGCTTTTTATCACAGCAATGACCAAAGTCCAGCTGACAAAGACATGACATAACTGAAAGGAATGTAGTCCAATCAAACTACTACGTTGAAACAGCAAACTACTGCAAGCTAGTAGTTAGTTCAGTGTCAGACTAATGTTGAATATCACCGTGTGTCTTTAAAATTTTTAATTACCTCATGACACCTAAGATATTTGCTATGGGGTCCCAGGGTGCCCTGGCACATAGTTTGAGAATAGTTGCCTTAGTATCTTCTGTCTGAACTCTTACTTAGGCTACATTTTATTTTAAACACCTTAAATTTATCCAATGACTCTGACTGACAAAATAAATAGATCTACCGTTAAACCAGAGACTATGTACCTCCAGGTTTCCCCCTGCCCCCAAATAAAACCTTCAACTCTATGAGTATATAATTTTTATGAAGGATTCAACTGTGAGAAAAAACTGTCCGCAAGGGCAGTAATATCCAATCTGTGAATCAGTGATTCTCAACAGCACAACCTATCAGAACTTCTAGATGGGAAAGGAATCAAAATCAGAATATATAATTACTAAAATTATTTTATCTTGAAATAAATTATTTCAACCCCTTTTCCCCAATAACAAAAATAGATACTAAAGCTTGATAAATATAACTGTTGTTATGGACCAAGAACTGGAAATATGCATTTAAATATATATAAAAACAAAAATCTTTATCTTTCTAATGCATGCCTTCCTTTAATTTCATTTGAAATTTAACATATTAAATGTGAAAATTAAGAATAAACCAATGCAAACTGACTAATGTTTTTCTCCAAAATAACTTTCACTGACCCCAGTTAAGAATCCATTCCATGGAGAGCAAAATTTACCCATGTATCAAACCAGATCTACCATAGCCACACTTCAAAAAAACGGCTTTTTACTTGTACTTGTGTTAAAACATGAGCTTATATATAAAGACATTACAAAAAAAAGCTTCATGAAATTCATTATTTTATCTCTTTTATGAATGTCATTTAGTATGCCATCTACTGCTTCAGACAGGGACTTCTTTACCAAAATACACAGGAGAAATACTCTCTGTTCTGGGTATCAGGAAAGCTGAAAAACAGACTTTTGCCTAACCAATACTACATTGTGCAACCTAACACTTTTCCTATTCTTTGGTTACACACATGCTTAAAATAGTTGCCATTAAGCCTCCCTAATGACCAAATATGCCATTTAAAATCACACTAATAAGGAAAGAAGGTAAAAAAGAAAAGATAATGGCATTGATTTGTTGATTCTCTTTATTAATCCAATGATTTGCCAAGGATATGTTTTAAAGAAGCTAGTATGAATGTGTACTCAGATACTACATTTTATAGAATATTGAACATATCTAGGTAATTCTAA